TAATTATTGTGTTAAGATAATTTATTCTCTATACTTAATAGATTTGACATGTACCCTGGCAATATGCATGTACTATTATGAAACCAAGTTATAATTACCCACACTTTCATATGAAAGTTAAAACAGAACGATAGTGCAGGATGAAGGAGGGAAGAGGAGGGGAAGGAGAGGGGATGTGGAGGTTGTTTATTATTTCTAATAAGTTTAATATGAATAATATTATAAGCATATGGCTAAAATTTATCAATAATATATTTTAGCTATATATAATAATATAATAGTATTATAATAGCAATATATAATATATAGTATTATTATAATAGTAATATAATATATAATATTATATCGTAATATTATAATAATACTATTATAAGTATATGGCTATAATTTAATGTGTATACTTACAAGTGTATGGCTAAAATTTATCAATAATATACTTTAGCTATATACTTATATACTATATACTTATAATAATAATATTAATATGATAATATTCTAGTATTAATATTTATTATTAAATTATTATATTACCATATACTTATAATAATAATATTACAGTGAGGCTTCTGTGGCTCAAAGGAGTAGATTGCCAGCCTCATATACCAGAGGTGGTGGGTTCAAACCTGGCTCCAGCCAAAAACTGCAAAATAATAATAATAATAATGATATTACATATAATAATAATATAAGTATATGGCTAAAATTTATCATTAGGAAACTAACATGTTTAAGTAATTAAATATTCATTAAGATAGATCACCATTATTTTTTACGGTTCAGTAATACTCCATGGTATACATAAACTACATTTTATAATCTATTATTGTATTGCTGGGCACTTGGATTGTTTCAACACTTTATGATTATAAATTGTACTTCCGTAAACATTCATGTGCATGTCTTTGCTTCCATTGAGTAAATACTCAGCACTGAGAATGCTGGATCAAATGGTAGGTCTACTTTTAGTTCTTTAAGGTATATCACCATACTACCTTCCATAGAAGTTGTACTAGTTTGAAATCCTCCCAACAGTGAAGGAGTGTTCTTTTATCTCCATATCCACTTCAGGGATGTTTTGATATGACCCAATCTAAGTGTTGTGAAGTGATATGTCATTGTGGTTTTGACTTGCATTTCCCTGCTGATTAGAGATGCTGAGCATTTTTTCATGTGTTTGTTGGCCTTATTGGTCCTCTTAGACTATCTTCATTTGAAAAGTTTCTAATATCTTTTGTAACAACCTGGATGGAACTACAGACCATTCTTGTAAGTGAAGTTTCTCAAGAATAGAAAAATGCCACATGTTCTCAATCCTGAACGGGAACTAGTTGATCAACAGTGCATGTATGGAGGTGAAACTCAATGGAAATCAAGTTGGTGGGAGAGAGTGGAGGGATAGGGTAAATTCACACTTAAGTGGTACAATGCACACAATAACTTTGACATAACATGCACAAAAGTACATTTTGCAACCAAAATGTGTGTATCCCTATGATACACTAAAATAAAAATAACCCCCCCAATTCATTAGGATAAAATATTTGTACTTGCCCTTGATCAAAGCCCATAATAAAACAAACCTCACAAGATAAATACCATCTCTTTATATAGTGGTTAATAGGAGCATTGGCTCTGGAGTTGAGTTCTGAGATGGCTTAACCTCTTAAAACTCTCAATGTCTTCATTTCTAAGAGGTTTATAAATACAGAAATGTGTGATAAATTCTTTTACTGTCTGACAACCAGAAAGTAAAGCACATCATGAATAACCAAAGTGTGTATAGTCATAAATGAATTATAGTTCCCTAAAGTGCTGATTCTATGTACAATTTGGAATGCTTACATCAAACTGGTTAACATAGCCTTCACTTCACTTACTTAATTATTGTGTTAAGATAATTTATTCTCTATACTTAATAGATTTGACATGTACCCTGGCAATATGCATGTACTATTATGAAACCAAGTTATAATCACCCACACTTTCATATGAAAGTTAAAACAGAACGATAGCCCAGGATGAAGGAGGGAAGAGGAGGGGAAGGGGAGGGGATGTGGAGGTTGCTTATTATTATTATATTAGCCATATCATTGTCACAATCTTTGTTTTCTTTCTATGAATATGAAACAGTATTCTTACATGAATAGATATGCAGTATCATGAGGCCTTAGGGTAAGATAAGACTGTTTCCATTCTAAAAATCTACGCAATAACTCATCTGCCTCACCATCTGTAGAAATCTTATTTTTATCTGACCACAAATCCAATGATGACAGCACAACGGTGACTTTAAATTGAGTGAATATCTAAAAACAAAAGGGATAAACATATGCAAAATTAATCTTTCTGTTATTTTATAATAACTTAATTAAATGTTTTCATAAGTCCACATTCAGTTTATATTGAAGACTGAATTATCCAGAAACACCATATCAAGTTAATGCAAATTACTAGTTTTTTATGTAAGAAAATACTTACTAAATTTACAAGGCCAAGAATTTCGATGATGTTATGTGTTATGATCACACTATCAGAGCCCCAATAATCATACTGAAAAACAGAATTAATTCTGAATTTAAATACAAGTTTTAGTTACTTTTCGTTTTATGTCTGAAGTTTAAGGCTATTCTTGGATTCAATAGATCAAAATAAGAGATTTATGATTATAAAATGGATATATCGATCCTTCATACATTGCTAGCAAGAATGCAAAATGGTATAGCCACTATGCATAGTAGTTTGGAAACATCTTTGAAATCAAAGAATCATCTACTTATAGTTCCCTAAGTGTTCTGCAAACTTCTTTCCAAAAAAGGACGTAATAGCTTGCATTCCCACTAGCAATGCAGAAGTGTTCCCTTCTCTCCACATCCATGCCAACATCAGTAGTAGACCTTCCCTCCAACCCTGCAACACTAGGTATATATACAGATGACCAAAAACCATTTTATGACAAAGATATTTGCACCAGAGTGTTTATTGCAGCCCAATTCATAATTGCAAAGTCATAGAAGCAGTTCGAGTGCCCATCGACTCATAAATGTATTAACAAATTGTGGTATATGTATACCATGAAATATTATGCAGCAATAAAAAAGATGAAGACTTTACCTCTTTTAAGTTCACCTGGATGGAGCTGGAACATATTCTTAGTAAAGTATCTCAAGAAAGAAAAGGTATCCAATGTACTCAATACTATTATAAAACCAATATATAATCATCCACACTTTCATATGAATGATAAAACACAACTATAGTCCAGAATGAAGAAGGGAAAATGATGGAGAAGGGAGGGGATGGGGGAAGTAGAGAGGAGGGAGGGTATTTGGTGGGACCTCATCTACTGTGTGCAATGCAAGGGTACATGTCAAATCTATTAAGAGTAGAGCATAAATGTCTTAACACAACAAATAAGTGAGGTGAAGGTTATGTTAACCAGTTTGATGTAAGCATTCCAAACTGCATATAAGATCAGCACATTGTACCCCATAAATGCATTAATGTACACAGTTATGATATAATACAAAATAATAATAATGAGAAACAACAACAACAACAAAACAATCACACAAACAAACAAAAAAGAATGGACTTACTTTGTGAACCAGCAATTTTACTCCTGGGTACATCTCAAAGAAATAAAAACTGATGTCCACACAAAAACCTATAGATGAAGGTCTTTAACAGTTTATTCATAATTGCCAAAAAGTGGCAGCCACTAAATAATTAAATAATTAGACAAGCTGTGGTAATTCATACTATGAACAACCACTCAGAAATTAACAGGAACTGACTGCTTTGTGTGGAACATCTTGGCTAAACCTCAAGAAAAATTATGCTGAGTGTAAAATAATAGTTTTGAAAGGATACATACTAAATGATAACTTTAAGTAATACATGTGAAATCATAAAGAACATATTAATGAGTGCCAAGGACTAAGAAGGGAAAGAGGAGTTGGATGTGACTTTAAAGAAATTATGTAAAAGAGTCTTGGGGTGAGGGTACTGTTGAGGATCTTAATTGTGGCAATGGTTATGCAAAGTTACTTATGTAATGCTGTTGTATGAATCTATATACAGACATGCACACACAAATGAGTGTATACATATATGTGCATATATCTGTGGAAACCTGAATAAACTATGGATTACAACAATGTCAATCTATATTTTTATATATACACATATATGCTATACATATGTATGCGTACATACCATTACAGCAACTGGTATCTACATGATGCTCAGTAAAATGTTAAGTAAACAAATAAATCCAATTAATTTACAAGTCCTTCTTATTCAAGCCCATCAGTAACTTTAAAGTTGTTTTGTATGTTGTTATTCCCAATACCACTAATTGATAAGTTTTCACCTTGATTACTAGAATAGTAAGTCTATTAATCCTAAATGATTCATCCTTCTGTGATTTTTCCATTAGCAATTCAGCAACTACACTAATACCAAAATGACAATATGAAGATAAAAAATAAATACATCAGTTTCCTACTTAAAACATTTCTTATTTTTATATTTTTATTTTATTTCATTTCATTTCATTTTTTGAAAGAGTCTTACTCTGTCACACTGGTTATAGTGCCGTGGTGTCACTGGTCACAGCAACCTCAAATTCCTGGGTTTGAACAATCCTCTTGGCTCAGCTTCTCAAGTAGCTGGGCCTACAGTAGCCAGTCACAAGGCCTGGCTAGTTTTTCTATTTCTAGTAGGGATGGGGTCTCACTCTTGCTCAGGTTGGTTTCAAACTCCTGAGCTCAAGCAATCCACCTACCTTGACTTCCCAGAATACTAGCATTATAGGTTTATATGCCCATCATATAATAGCACAGATTTTATAGTAGGCTCAAGGGTTGTTTTATTAAAAAACCATAAATGCAAAGATGATTAGGGAGAAGAAATGTTTAATTAATATTAAGTGGCTTGCAACCCTGGAAATTTGGATAAGAATAACTCTCAATTTTTTTTCTTTTTGCAGTTTTTGGCTGGGGCCAGGTTTGAACCCACCACCTCCAGTATATGCCCTACTCCTTTGAGCCATAGGTGCTGCCCCAATAACTCTCAATTTTTATAACATAATTTTAAAACAAAATTTTCATAATGCAACCTATTCCCTAGAAGCTGAGTTATAGATATTTAGGAGAAATATCTTAATTTTTTCCTATATATCTCAATTTTCTCTTAAATGTTTCCTTTTCCCTATACACTAATACATCAGGTATTTTCATATCCAAATCTCTTCTGTCTCTGACCTCAACTCTGGCTTCCTGATGAGATCAACCTTAAAAACATAATTGGCAATGAACACTATTCATATTCTCTATACTATTCCATAGGTGTGATGAATATATAGTATCATCAGAGTAAAAATTGGAAAGCACATTTTCATTTTTATCCTAGTTTCTAAATTCTTTCAAATAATAGAGAAAATAGAGCCATATATGTTTGAGTGTGACCTAAATTATCACTCTAAGGTTCATAAATTCAAAAGCACTCAATTTTTTAGTGGAAAATTAGGATCTAGAAGTATCTTTTGTATTAGGAAAAGGACAGAATGGAACAGGTGTACTAGATAAAAACTGCTTTGAAACAATAATTTGTAGTTTCCCTATACATGTAGTTTCCCTATATCCTACCTCCACTTTATCCCCAATAAATATTTTATAAGATAAAACATTCTTTAGGCTACATTCTGTTCTTCAAGAATTCCTAAAATGGGAATCAAAAGTTTAAAGAATTTCACTTTGAGCAAAATCACCATTAAAAAATATATATGGATGATTGAAAGAGATCCTAAAAGTATGAAGTACCAGTTAAAAAAAATAAAAAAATTGTTCTGCACTATCACTTTTTGTAAATTTCACAGTAAAACATTACTGACAAAACTAATATACTTTTACTATTTGGTTTTTCAGTTTGCACATTTTTACACTATTATCTCTATGACATACAAGTAAGAAGACTGTGACCTTTAGTTGCTTTCTAGGCAAAGAAAATCATTCATTTGCATCAAATATTTAGAAGTAAGGAAAAGTAAAAACACATACCAAAGAGTTGTCCACCACAATATGTATTTCTAGATAAAGAGGAATTAAATCTGGAAAATCTTGTTCTGACTAGGAAAAAAATATCAGCATATAAAACTTAAATTTTTTAATGATTTGTTTAATTGAACTCATTAGCATTACCACTCACAGGATATTCTAAGGTAACTGCTTCACATAAATGGCTAATATCAATGTACAGTGCTTTGATTTTTACAGTAATAGACCCAAGTAATAAGAACATTGGTTATAAAGTTATAACATATATCTCAACAGATCTACAGCTTTCAGTTTCTTAACTGTGAACAAAACACCTAGCACTTCTAACCACCTATTACATATATATATACACACATACGTATGTATGTGTAACATATATATCAGAAATAAATTACACTTTTTCTTTATACATTAAACAGGTATTAAGGATTTTTAAATGGTTATTTACAATACCTCCCATCAAGAGATGATACTAAATCCCTTCTCTCTCGAACTAGGCTGGGCCTTATAACTTACTTGAACCAAAAAATGCATTTAAAGTGCTGTTGTGCTAATCCTAATTAAGTCAGATTTCATTCTGCCCTCATGGTCTTGGAATCTTGCTTGTCTTCATGTGGACAACTTGCCAGATTATAAAAAACAAGTGGCCTATTCACCCCGTTGACACAGAAAAACAAAACGGGACAAAGCTTAAAGAAGAAAGAATCTGCCGAATTTCTGTGAGAGAAATATAGTGCTTGATCTTACCCACCTATCATCCCACCCCCTACATCCAGCTTGGTGGAATCCATAAGGATGGCAGTCTATTTTCTAGATGTGGCTTGCTGGTGCCAGAGGATGAGGTACCAAATTTGTTTTCAAAGAATTATAGTTGTGTGTTTTGAGCTGTCTAGTAACTCCTTAAAGAATTTGCTCAAAGGCTATCCTTTGTTTCCATTACCTTGAAACTTTCACAGGGCTGGAGTGGACTCCAAGGTGTTGTTTATGAAAAGTACTTAAAGGCAAATATACTGACTACAGCCACCTATAGCAAGAGAAAACAGGTGGTACAAGGAGTAGGCATGCTGAAAATGCCAGGAAGAAGGAGGCAGGGGAGGAATATGGATAAAAAATATAAAGGTTTTGAAATCTCTAGCATATCCTGGGAAATCTAGACAGCAACTCACATTCACAAGGCATAAAGTACTTGAGAAGGCATTAAACTTTCTCTTCTGGCTGACTGTAAAGCACTGTGCAAGTAGGAGTGAAGGCCAAGGCAAAATTGTAAACATCTGGAATAAGTATTGTATGTGTACCCAGGCACACAGTCAATCTTCAAAAACCAAGAAAATTTTTCTTTGCCCGTTTGTTTGTTTTTGCTCCAGTCATTTAAGGAATGCTCTGCCAAATCAATAGGCAACAACTGAACTATATTCATTAATTATAGTGAATATAGTTCAATACAGTTTTTACAATTTAACAGTTTGTAAATTTACAAGTTTATAAATATTGTTAACAAAATATTTCTTTACTTTAGAAAAGTTAGTAAATAAAAACTATAATGCTCAACAAGTAGCAAAGACAAACTCTAGTGCGAGAAGGGAAAATCTTACTTAAGGCATTATCACATCATAATATTAAAAATGTTCAGTTTACAACAACAAAATGAGACATAAAAAGAAACAAGAATGCATAATCCATTCTCTGGAGGAAAAAATAGAAATTGCCCCTAAGGCAGCCCAGGCATCAGCATAGACAAAGACTATACATTAACTGTTTTAAATATGCTCAAAGAGCTAAGGAAAAAAAAAAAAAAAACATGGACAACTAACTAAAGGAAAGTAGAATGATGCCACAACAATAAAGAATATAAATTGAGATCATTTAATTCGAGAAGCGCAATTAAAAAATGAATGAATAAAAATGAGCACAGCCCACATTGAGGATCCTAAAGGGAGAAGGAAGCAAGATGGTGGACTAAAGACATCTCTTTAGTAGCCACTCATGGTGAGACCAAGGAGAGAGATCTCCAGCTACCTCTGGCTGAGGGGCTTTTGCCCAGAAACATCACTTTAGAAGCACAGAGAAATAGCAGGGACTTCAGAAGCCAAGGAAGTTGGGAGCAGTGAAAAACCAGCACACAAGGTGAATGCTTGTGTGAGGCAGAGGCTGCCCAGCCCTCTGGCAGGGGGCTAGTGACAGGGAAGGCCTATCCTATAGTTTTATTTGGACTTGGGTACTCCCCTTGAATACCTTGGGATAACTTAAGTGAGCCAGTGAACTTAAGCAACTATCAGTGGCCAAGACTAAGCAACCAGGTGGGATGGAGCTCTCATCATTTGGCTGATAGCAGGGTACCACCATAATTAGAGGGATGCCAGAGATAAATAGCCCACAGCATCCTAGAATGAGGTTAATTCTGGTGTGCCCCTTATCTGGGCAGCCACCCTTCCGGAGAATTGGATGGATCTTGCTCCCCTGGGAAAACTACATTGTGGCCAAGTGACACTGTTTGGAAAGATCAAGGCATGTCTGGTGAGAGCTTCAGGCTCGTGACACTGGGGACTGAGGGAAAATAAATCAGGAAGATGGGCCCTGGTTTCCTTGGTAACTACATAGTGGCTTCTGGCTCCTATCCTTTTTTTTTATTATTAAATCATAAACACATAGATCATGTATACATTAATGAATTTATGTGGCAAAATGTGCTGATTTCAGAATATTGAAATCATCATTCATAGAATTCAATGTGCTGATTTCAAAACATTGAGTGTTCATAGAATTAAGAACGCTTACATCACACTGGTTAATATATACCTCATCTCATTTACTTAATTATTGTGTTAAGACATTTATACTCTATACTTAACAGATATGTCATGTACCCTTGCAATATGATACAAAATCAATACTCACAAATCAGTAGCCTTTATATATACCAATAATAGTCAAGCTGAAAAACAAGCAAGAACTCCATTCCCTTTACAGTTGTGCCAAAGAAGATAAAATATTTGGGAATTTACCTAACAAAGGACATGAAAGATCACTATAAAGAGAATTACGAAATTCTGAGAAAAGAAATAGCTGAAGATGTTAACAATTGGCACCTATCTTAACAGCAGAATCACGGGTGTGATTAGAATAGCCTAATCACAGAGTGCAACTTGGTGTTCAGATAATATATTGCTATACATATGATATATATATATATTTTTTTTTCCCCTATATTCAATTTTTGTTGTTGTTTGCTGTTGTGTTGTTATTTTTGCATTCTCACTTTCTTCATTAGTAATAACTCCATTTTCCTGTGGTTTTATGGTCTTTTAGTCCTTTTTCATTTTTTTTCTTAAGGTTTTTTTTTGTTTTCTTGCATTTTCATTTTTCCATTTTTACTATCTTCAATAGTAATGGTCTCATTTTTGCTATGATTTTCTACCACTTTCACTTTTTATTTCCTTTCCATTTCTCTCATTTTCTGTCTCTTTTGTAGATATTTTTATACTTTTCTTCATTTTTCCCAAGTAAAATTCTCAAACAACAAATAAAATATCCCTTACAAAATTTTATTTTCAATTTTCTTAATATATTTTTATTTTTCTTATTTTTTCTGATCTGTGTTTATTTCTTTCTGTATTCCATTTATAGGACAAAGCCTCACTTTGAGACCTGGCCTAGGTGTGACAGCATTGTCCTATATTGCTAGAGCTATTAGGACTCCATAGACCACGGACTTCAGGTCTATGGAAATGGCTCAAGGAAATGGCATTGGTAGGTCCTCTTGAAAATGGTATTGCTCAACATATTGCTGATTTTTTTTTTCTATGTTTGGCAGAGATGAGGTCTAGCTTTTTCTCAGGCTGGTAAGGAGTTCCTGACCTTAAGGGACACACTCAGCATGCCCCCAGTGGCCTGGAATTGCAGGGAAGGGTCAAAAACCCTAAGGAACACCACTAGTATTCCTGACTTTTTCTCTTCTTCTCTCCTTTTTTTCAAGTTTTTTTTTCTTTTGCCTCCCCCTTTTTGTTGTCCTTTTCATTGTTTTCTCCTTTCTTGACCTTTACTCTTGTATTCCTTTTGGCCTGTACCAAATGGACACTTCAACAACGAAGCATACAGATGAGATAACATAAAGAGGAGGAAGTGAAAGAAAAAATTAGGGAAAAGAAGGTAACAAGAAGAAAACATTAATGAGGAAGAATCAACACAAAAATTCTGGCAACATGAAAAAATGAGAACAGATTAACTACCCCCCCCACTGTGATCATGAGGTAGCTACTGAAGAGGATTCCACCTATAAAGAAGTTTTGAAATTGACAGAAAGGGAATTTAAAATATGGACGACCAAAATGAAGACGAGAATTAAAGGGAAAGTGGAGAATAAACAAAAAGAAATTAAAAAACTAACCCAAATAATGAACAAAAGACACGAAGAAATGAAATTAGAAAGAATATATTGGAGCTTAAGAAAGTGAAAAAGTCATTCCAGGAGCTTAATTATGCAGCAGAATGAATGCATATTTAATGAACAACAGGTTGTACCATGCAGAAGAAAGAATCTCAAGCTAGAGGATAAGGCTCTTGAGTTAATCCAGGTAGCTGAAAAGGCAGAAAAAATGAGAAATTAGAGCATTTGCTCAGAGAATTGTGGAACTTAACTAAATGTTCAAACATACAAATTATAGAGATCACTGAAGGGGAATAAGAAGATCCCAGAGGAAAGGAAACCCTACTGGGGGATATCATAAATGAAAATTTCCCAAAGATTTCAACACACTCCTTTCAGAGGGATATTGAATCCTGAGTTGTCTCAGTGCAAACAGAACACCTTCAGGACATGTTGTCATGAACCTGGCCAAAGTCAAGATGAAAGAGAAAATTTTGCAAGCAGCCAGGAGTAAGTGCCCATTGACCTACAGAAGGAGATCAATAAGGATGACAGAGGACTTTTCAGCTGTAACCTTTCAAGCCAGAAGAGATTGTCATCTACCTTTAACATTTTTCAATAAAACAATTTTTTGGGAGTGGGCACAGTTATTCATGCCTATAATCCCAAAACTCTGGGAAGCCAAGGAGATTGGATTGCCTGAGTTGAG